CTAGCACTGAGAACCTCAGGGCAGTAATAGAGTTCAGCTAAGGGAAACAAATCGATGGGTTTGAATGGTCTGCTGATCTTTCCCACCACACTATTTCATCTCTCATAAAGCTGACAGATTGCTTTGACTCACATTCATGTCAACCATCTCACTGCATCTGATCAGTTTTTTAGGGATTGGGACAGAAATTGCTCTTGAGACGTGATGTAGCCCAGAGAAGCTGTGGATGCACCATTCCTGGAAATGTTTAAGGCAAGGCTGGATGGGACTCTGAGCAATCTGGTCTAGTGGAAGGTGTCCCTGCCCATGACAGGGGTGTTGGAACAAGATGATTGTGAAGGTCCCTTCCAACCCAAACAACTCTAAGATTCTATCTTTGCAAAAGAGAAGAAATGTTCCATCCTCTGCACCAACACTTAGAGCAGATGTTGGAGAGTTGTTTACCAGCAGTTGTCTCTATCCAGCATACTGTGGAACTGATGACAGTCTCCTCCTTGATTTCAGCAGAATTTGGATCAGTTTTAGTTGAACAAAGTACCTCTGGAATAACTCTGGTGTTAGCAGAGAATTTTCTGCTCTATTATTCACATGGATTTTTAAACAATGTCCACTGAAATCAGTGTCCCTCTTTTCATTAACTACAGTTGGCTTTGGATCAGGCCTGGGAAGATGCACATCTTCCAGAAATGCCATAGGGTGATTTCTTTAAAAATCATTGAACAAAGATATACGAGCGCATGGGATGATCAGCAGGGAAGAAAGTCCCATCTCTATTTTATACGGTTGGCTTCCTGCTCATATCAGCAATAATTTAGATAATTAAATTGCTTAGTTCAGTAGTTGGAAGAGGCACAATCAACAAGCTGACTCTACTAAGATGTCAGATGTATTAGTGTGCTGGGTTTTATATTTGTTTTTCTTTTTTGTGTGTGTGTGAAAAGCTGTATAATTGGACACTGTCTTTTTCACCCCCGGCTAACCTCTTCTTCAGAGGAGCATACCAAAGACATTTAAAATCACATTATGGATGCCAGCATAGTTACAACATTTATATCGCATATGGTGATGTTCAGTGGCAGCAGACGAATGGATGAAATCAAGCACAATAATAGAATCAGCCCCCCTTGAGTTTAACAGTAAGACGAACAGTTCAGTGGTATAATTTAGTAAAAGGCAAGTAAGAGCTCAGATATTTTAATGAGGGAACTAAAGTCCATAACTGGGCATGCTTTTAACATTCTACTTTGATTCACTGGTCTTTGTACTGTCACTGTAGGGTCTTTGAACTTTTGCTCGCATAAGGCAGAAACAGTTTTATTAAATCACGCTCCTGAAATGCTCGTCTTACTATGACTCCAGTTTTATTTTGTTTTGTTTTATTAATATTTGTGGCTGAATCACTCCTCTGAAGGATGAAAGAGATCACACAAAGTGTTCTGTTTTTTACCATCTTTAACTCACGTGGATTTTGCTGTTGGTGGCATCTCTCAAACCAGGACAGAAGAGTCTCTGGAGAGTCTGAGATGGGGTATATCTAGTGTTTGTGCTTCAATTTTGTCTCCTAGAAGTGCTGTGGAGTTTTCTTCTCTGACACATTCTTTGTGTCTGCTCTTCTTTTCCTTTTATTTTTTCATGATGCCACTTGTAAACAAACAGTTTTGCTTCTCCCATTCCACACAAGTTTTTCCTCCTTGTTCTCTGAATTGCAATGATGAGATGAGAAGACCCAGCTGTATTTTGGCTCTTTTTTTTTATGCTGCTTTTTTCACTACATTCCCCAAAGATTGTTTACTTATTGTTCAAAACTAGAGACCTTACCATACATTCTAACTGACCTAAAGCTCTATACTAACCCCTCCAAAAAGCCATACTAAAGATGAAAGTTATATAGAGCTTGTGTCTATCTTCTGCATATTGTTTGTTCAGCTGTGAGATGGTATGAATAGCTGAGTGCTGCACTTGTATTTTAAGTGTAGAGAGCTCACTTTAACATTTACCAGCACGCTTCTCATCCTGGATGCCATTCCCACATCATGTTTGCATGTAGCCAGAATTATTCACCTCTTTTTTTCCCATTAAACTATTAAAAACAGAGCCTCAGACACAGAGTCCACAGTTTGGTAAACTCAGACATGATGGGATTTGTCAGTTCTTTTTGCAATGTCACTTAATACATCCGAATGTGTCACAAGGGAATCACAAAGTGATGTTTGTGAAATAAAAAGAAAATGGGATGTATTTTTAAATGATGAACATTGACTTATTCTTCTTTTAGGAAAATTATTCCCACATGATAGGCTGATCTAAAAATAATAGTAATAAAAAAAATCCATGTTGGCCATTTGGTAATAGGGTCAACTAAATAGAATTTCTTATTCTTGGACCACTCTGAAGCCTAAATTGTCCCACTTTTGGCTTCTTTTTGACCATTTTTCCTGGAAAGGGAAATAAATGGTGATCAGCTGCTATAATATCAAACTGGGCTCAGGGACAGACTGAGATGGGAAAGAAACCAGTGTGGAAAACCCATCACCAAAAATATCTTATTTTCAGACTTTCTTCTAATGCCCCTGAAAGCTTCCTTGCCATGATATGAGTCCTGTTGATGTGAATGGGGCAATTTTCTCTCACTGACCCACCTGTACATAAAGTTGTTGCAAGTTAAGAGACTAGGTTCAATTCTCAGTGCTACAAAACTGGATAAAATTATGTATTTTGGCCTGAATGCAAGAATAATATTGAACCACAAATGCACATTAAAGCCACCACAGGTTATGATTATAGGTTTTAAGCAGATGATATGATTTGATTTGTGGCGCTTTTTTTGCCACTATTTTTAGAATAAATGGCTGTTCTGAGACCCCTTTCAGCATTCATAACACAGCAATGAGTCCTTGAAGTGCTTTGGCAGAGAGTGGGGAGGACTGACGCCTTAGAGACACAGCTCTCAGCCCTGGTTATGTGGGCAGTCCTTCTGCTGGGTTAGAAGTCACACATGTACCAAGCAAGCAACATTCACCAAGCTGCATCTGTTGCTTCCAGAACCAGCGTTGGTCAATCCCAACGCCGCTCTGCTGACTGACACCAGCTGGTGCTCTGCTCCTTTTACTCTGGCCTCGTGTGGGTTAGCAGCTGGCCAAGACTGTTTTTAAGAATGTATTTATAAAACTTCAGAGCTGTGCAAGCCCAGACACAGAGAAAGGACGTTTTGAGCTCTTGGTGCTGGAAGTGCAGGACGTCGCTCGGCAGATCTGGTTTCCCAGCTCCTGCTGCTGCCACTGACCTGCTGTCCCATCACCAGTGCCCAAAAACAATGCTTCCTAAAAAATCCAGGGAAGCAAAAACTTTGGGCTGAAGGTTTCCATAGATATTTTAAGCAAAATAAGCCTGTCCTGATCCCTCTGCAGGCGGCTGCCTGGTCGGTATTTCAATAATGCACTTATTTAGAAGGAAATTCTAACTACCGTAGGGCACAGTGGTATTTTCATGCCTTTTTTACCCTGCAGCTTTTTCCAGCTGGCTCAAACCTGAGCACCTTGCTGTCTGGTAGGGACATCGTCTGGCTGAGGTGTAAACTACAGCACCTGCTCATGTCCTTTGGATTTAGGGTTGGTACATGAATAAATACAAGGGTTTTTTTTAATTCTTTCTTGAATTTATGTTCCACTGCTGGCAGATACTTCCAAGTCTTATTTGCAGAGTGAAAGGTTTATTATATGTATTGCTTTTCTCTTTGTCTGCATGTGATATGAACTTTTGAAAACAAAAGAGCCTATAGTTTTCTGTGGGAATAAGAATTTATAGCTACATCTCCACAACTTCATAATATTTTTCCCTTTTTAATTTCCTAAACCAGCACAACATGCACTTTATTCCTGAGTTATGTGGTTGAGATAGGCCCAACATTTGACTGATCAAGACTGGTTTTGAACAAATGCTGACACCACCATTCTTTTTGTCTATGATTCCCTATGGCTTTGAAAAGAAATATCCTAGAATGCATAATCGGCCCTGCAGCAATGATCTACATCACACAGTGTCCTCTTCATGACTTCTTCCCAGCTATCAACAGTGAGAAGCAGATGTGCAAGTTAAAAGACAGAGAAGGCAGAATTTCCCCCAGAAAATGGACAAAGAAATCAATAGAATCATTAAAGAGGAAAAGAAGGAGTAGAAGCTGGTTTCTCCCCTCTGTATGTGCAAATAGTAGATCGAACTGCAATGACTTTATGATATAATAAAAAAAAACCCAAACAAACAAACAAGAGCAATAAATTAATAATAGATTTATTTTTTTTTTAATGAAAAGAGTTGATTTACTATTATAAAACACAGCTAAACTTTTGACAGCCCAGCCACTTTGCCTGGCTTGTTACAACACCATCTGACTTCAGTAGCTTCAAAGTCTATTTAAACCTTATGTTGAAGATCACCCACCTGCGCTTTTGCGCTTCTTGAAGTTAAATAGTTGAAAGACATGCTTTGAAGCTGCTGAGTTTACTCCTAGAAAGAAGGACCGATGGCAACAAATAGATATATGAAAGCAGCAGCATATTTTTAGCGTTCGTCATTTCTGAGACTCCAGAACCGAAAGCAGCACTGGGTGAAGTGGCAGTGGGTTGTGTGTGTGATTTGTAGTGGTTTGTATCTGGGCTCTGCGTTGTGTATCTCCTAATGATGAATGCGTGGGAGGGCCAGGTCAGGAATGGTTTCCACTCCAGTGCGCTGATTGTGTAGTTGGCAGTGGACTCAATTAAAGTATAATAATCTGGTAATCTCTCTCCTGTTTCCATTCAGCTGCTTCACAGTGAATAGAGCCAGTGAACAAGTATAGCTTTTGAAAAGTAGGTGAACTCCTGCTTCTTTGTCTGAGCAGTTTGTGTCTAGTCAAGTAAAATGACAGGCAGAAGAGACGACTCTCCAAAACGTTGCTCCCATGACTTGCATCACTACTGTCATTTGTGTTTCTGCAAGATAACGCTCTTTATTTTCCTTTCTAGGCTACGGATTGGATTTCTAGCAAGCTTCCCACCACGGAGAACAGACAAGCTGATGTGAGAAGGGAGATATGGATATGTCCATGACGGGGAGATGCCGTGTGTCCCATCTCTTGGTTCTTCTCATGTTCACATTCAGCAAGGAGAGAATCGAGGCACAAAGAGCAGGTATGCACCATTCGGGTTACTGCTTCATGCTCAGGAGCTGCTGGGGCTTTCCCGTGCCTGAGAAGTTATCATTGCTAGGAGGAAAACCCTAAAAACCCCAAGATGTTTACTGCTGAAAATACATAAAGAAGACCTTAGGTATGGAGATAGCTCAGGGATCAAGGTTGTGGTTTAGCTGGGGTCTCTTGTTCTGTTGCAGGCTTAGAAAGTTTAGCTCAGCTACTCACAGCAAGAGGAGCAGTTTACCATAGTTTACTCTGGATATGCTCCATCTACTCCACACTGGCATGGTGTTTGCTTCTTCCATCACCTTCTGTGAGTGTCATAGGAGACCTGGTGACTCTTCTATCTGGCTGTGACTTTCCTTGTGAGCTAAATAGGGCCAAGGCACTGTTCATACCCTTTCTTGGTTCAAGGTATTTAAAAGACATGTTGTTGTGGTGCTTAAGCAGCGTGTTTTAGTGGTGGACTTAGCAGTGCTGGGTTAATGGTTGGACTTGGTGATCTTAAAGATCTTTTCCAACCTAAAAGGTTCTATGATTCTAGGTTTCTATACTGTCTAGTTGCCAGTGTGGCCCCCTGGCATGGCTTTTGATCTGGGCTGATAAACACTCTGCCTCAAATGCCACTGAATGCATTAGAGGATGGTGCAGCTGAGGGACTGCTGCTACAGGCACTCAGGACAAGGACACGTTGGGTTTTGTGCAGGAGTAAGAAGAGTTATCTGGCACCAATGATGCCACACCTGAAATGGAAAATGGTTGTAGACCCACACAATTTTTTGGTATAAAAACCCAAAGGCATTTTGAGATGGATGTTTTCTGTCTCTTTTTCTAGGAAAGCTGCTATTCTGTAGGCTTGGGTGATTTATAAGAAAGAAAAGGCTTTTTTAGACCTTCTCTCGGTTTTACAGTTTAGCTGTTTTACAGTCTTCTTATGTGATCTGTGGAAGGCTTTTTGGATGAAATTTAACAAAAATAAATACTTAGTAACCAAACAAAGTGAAATCTCACCTTTTTTCTCTGCTTCTGGATCAGTCATAGGCAGAATATAGTGGTGCCATTTATTTGTTCATTCTATGCTTACTTTAAATAATTTTGGCCTTATGGCTTGTTTTTGAAATATTTTTAATTGGAATATTGCAAAACAGTTGGTTCAGTGTCAGAGTGGATCAATACAACTCCTTGAATTATGCTTTCAGAGAGTATTTCTGCAATTACAAAACTGAAATTTTGCTTTGCTATGAATTATCTCCCATATTCCCTTAACATGAACTTGTTTCTGCCAGTAAAAAATACTGTTGTAGTGTTCTTGGAAAACAATAAATTTTGTCCAGCAGTGGCCCTTACAGTGCTAAAAATGCAGATTAATATTTACCAAAAGCTTTTCTGCAGCATTTCATCTCCCTCCCATCAGGTCTGTAAGCAAAGAATCACTAACTCCAAGAAAATGATCCTGAAAGACCACATTTTTCTTCCTTGAAATATTGGCTTGAATACGTATCACTTTTAAAACCTTAACTCCCCCTTATTTTAAGGCTTGTTGCCCTTGAACACAGACAGGATTCATTCTGTCTGTTCTGTTTGTTTTTAAATTGCAGTCATCTCACCTGCTGAGAGTCGTTAAAATAAGCAACAGGACTGATCTGTACCTTGTGGGTTTTGTTCTCTACTTAGTCTCACTTAATTAAGATTGTTTCAGACATAATAGATAATTATAATAATGAGTTTGGAGAGGGGAGGTGGAGAAGTGTAGATTCCTTGCTTACCTTTTACTGTTATACATTCTATCCTTTATATTCTCAAAACATCAAGTGGAACCACACTTGACATTCTAGCTTCTATACACAGATATGATGTAACTTACATCCCATACTATAAAATGATATATACCATCTCTACTCTCAGATTACCTTTGGAGAGTTTTCCAAGACAGACTTTTCTTGCTCTGTGGTTAGAGGCAAGCATTCCCTCACTCCCAAAATGTCATCACAGAATATGATCCCCAATGCTGGTTTGGGCTGGGATAGAGTTCATTTTCTTCACTGCAGCTGGTATGGGGCTGTGCTTTGGATTTGTGCTGGAAACAGTGTTGGCACCACGGGGCTGTTTTTGTTACTGCTGAGCAGGGCTTACACAGAATCAAGGCTTTTCCTACTCCTCACCGCACCAGTGAGGAGACAGGCACAAAGAAATAGGGAGGGGACACAGTCAGGAAAGCTGCCCCCAACTGACCAGAGGTATATTCCAGACCATATGGTGTCATTCTCAGAAATAAAACTGGGGGGACATTTGGCTGGAGGCTGCTGCTCGGGGTCTGTCTGGGCATCAGTTGGTCAATGGTGAGCGTTTTCCTTTGTGTCGTTTGTCTTTCTTGGGTTTTATTTCTCTCTCTTTGCTATTTTTATTACAACTTCTTTTTCTTCCTATTCTTATTTTATTTTATTGCATTCTATTTCAATTATTAAACTTTATTGTCTCGACGCTTGAGTTTTCCCACCTTTACCCTTCCAGTTCTCTTCCCCCAGTCCTGCTGGGGGGGAGTGAGCAGGCGGCTGTGTGGTGCTTAGTTTCCAGCTGGGATTAAACCACATGATCCCACGTGAATGGGTTGATTCCAATATGGTCTCAATCCCATGTGCCTAGGTTGTTCCCACAGCCACTGCAGCACCTGGGATGTACTCTGCTACAGAAGTCAACACAGCAGCAGATGATGCTCATTTTTCATCAACACCTACCAAACACCAGGTGTGAATTCAATCACTCTCACAGCCATCATGCAATACCATGAGCACTGACCTACCTGGGATGCTCTTACTCTTTGGAGGCAAATCCTCTTCATGTGGCTGAGCCTCCACTCTCTTCTTTCCAGTGCAGTGGGCAGTTCTGGCATTCTTCCATTCAGGGCAGAGTCACAGCCCCAGGATGAGCAAAAGCACCAGAGCTAATTTTGGTCAAAATTTGGGTGTGGGAGAATACTTTCTGACTTTCCTGTAGGTTCAAATGCTGGAATCCAGTAAGAAAATATGGCATTTTACCATTAGTTTAAACAAGCAGTTGTACTTTGTGAAATGATGTGAGACAAGAACTACTGGAGAAATAATCGTTGGTGGTTGTGACCAAATTGACTTTGTAGAGCAGCTTGCAGTCTTAAAACTCATAATTTATTAGGGATTATGGTCTACAACAATGAATTAAAGAAATACGTGTATATATATACACATTTTGTCCAGTTAGGGCATTATGTTGATAAATCTCAGGCATCTGTGGGATGTTTATGGATCTACTTCCTTCCGACTTGCATATATTCAGAAACAGCTAAAAACATCTCCTGAGAGATCTAATTTTTTGGCAAGTGTCTGACAAATATATGACCAGTCTGGCTTGATAGGGCAAGCAAGCTACAATTAAAATACATTTGTGTTTTGGATTACACAAGCCTCGCATTACAAATATCACGATCGCAGGCAAAGGGGTGGTTGTGGAAATAAGTGACATTTTCCCTTACAAGGCAGATGCCCTTGGTCATCAAGGAAGACATCCCAAAATTCAGTGAGTCATCCTTTAGTCAATTGTCAATGGCAGAGAGCCTCAAAATTGCAATAATCTTGTTATAGACTTGCTTCACCAACACATAATGCTGAGCAAAAGAACCGCTTCTAGCTAAGCATAAATAAATCATAAAGTTAATGCAAGAGAGAGCATAAAAGCTTCACTACTCATGGTCAGGATTGGCATAGGCAAGGTCAGGGCAGGTCTCTTCATCTGCTAAGGTCATTTCAAAGCATTGCCCTGGAGAAAGGCACTACAATGAAGTCAGAGAAAAATGGCTTCATATGCATGCAGATGGTGTAGGTGAAGGATTGAGCAGAGGCAGTTTAGCAGCACGGGAAGAGAAAGGGTTTGCATTTCAAAGCAAAGTGTGTGCTGATCTGCAGATGTCCTGAAACAGATGAGGTGAATCACAAGGAAGAAAGGCTGCGAATCTACACTTCCTCTGCAGGATAGGGAGAGAGTTTGCTACCTCCTCCAACTTGCTCACTAGGGAGCCATGCCTCCCATTCCCCAAATAGGGAATATTTGGTATGTCTGGTACTCTGCTTTTATCTTCCCTTAACAATATTTTCTGCCTCTCTTGCAGGTTGCAAGAGTGTTCACTATGACCTTGTCTTCCTCTTGGATGCCTCCTCCAGCGTCGGAAAAGAAGATTTTGAGAAAGTTCGTCAGTGGGTGTCTAATTTGGTGGAAACTTTTGAGATTGGCCCAGACAAAACCCGTGTGGGTGTGGTGCGATACAGTGATCATCCGACCACGGAGTTTGACCTGGGGAAGTACAAAACCCGTGAGGAAATCAAAGAGGCTGCACGAAAAATTCAGTATTATGGGGGTAACACGAACACTGGAGATGCTCTCAGGTACATCACCACCTACAGTTTTTCCAGAGAAGCTGGTGGGAGACTTAGTGACCGAACTGTTAAAAAAGTGGCCATCCTTTTAACTGATGGAAGGAGCCAGGATTTTGTCTTAGATCCAGCCACTGCAGCACATCAGGCTGGGATTAGGATCTTTGCTGTGGGTGTTGGAGAAGCCTTAAAAGAAGAACTTGATGAGATTGCTTCAGAGCCCAAGTCTGCTCATGTGTTTCATGTCTCTGATTACAATGCCATTGATAAAATTCGGGGGAAGCTGAGAAGACGTCTCTGTGAAAGTAAGTGGAGCTCTGCACAACTGGAATAGGTTCAGTTAGCATGTAGGTATGAAAAGCTGTGATTTTTTTCTTTCATGCCTATAATTCTACACTGATAATTCTTTATTTTTGTATCTTCCGCTCAGTTTGATTCTGTGAGAAATCACTGTTCAAGGCCAGGTTGGATGGAGCTCTGAGCAACCTGATCTAGTGGTAGGTGTACCTGCTCACAGCAAGGGGCTTGGAACTAGGTGATCTTTAAGGTCCCTTCCAACCCAAATCATTCTATAATGTCATGATTCTATGATTTCATAGGTCAGCTTTAGGGGATAACCACAGAGCAAAACATGAATTTCCTTTTGGTTCTGATATAGTTCAACTAATTTATAATATTTTGGACTACTGAATATGAAGGGTGTCGTCTTTTTTATACACGGATTTTGGTTTATTTTGTATAGGAACTTGTTTTTTCCCCTTTACTTACTGGCATTTTACTGTGAAAAGAATGCTCTGGAATAATCCTTAAGGAAGCAAAGGGATGTTTGTGCTTTTCTGCCTTTCAGCATCCCAACTCTACTGACAACTGGTGTTCACTAGTTCTCTGGCTGTCAACACCATAAGCCTTGGTGACGTTTTGAATGACTTTTAATGGAGAATAATCTGTGAAATTTGCATGGAATAAATGGGTCTGAATTTCCAGCTCCTTGCTGAAGAGGACGGGAATGGCATTGTGGCTGCTATTTCCCAGCCCTTTAATGGGAACAGCAATCACACAACCCTTTGTCCTTCCACCACTGACAAATCACTCTCTCATTCTCAATGACTCCATGAAAGCTACCTGGTTTTGCTGCTTTTTGCAGTGTGTGTTGGGGTTACTGTAAGTTCTTTTGGTCAACAGCATGAGATCCCACTCTTGGTTCCCGGTCTGAACTTGGAAGACAACAGCTGACTGTGATGCTGTGACACATTGCAGTGTTAGGATAAACAGGTCTGTGAGCTGGCAATTCGTTACTGACAACAAGTTGCCTCAAAAAAACCACACCTTGTAGCTGATGTTGTAAAGATCTTTCATTGATCTCTGTGACCTCCATTTTGCAAAAAAACCCAGTGTTAACATAATGCTCTGGGCTTGTGTGGGGTCCTTAAAGAGTGACTAGGACAAGCAGGCATAAACTATTTGACATTACCCAGCAATATCAAGATGTGTCTGCTTTTTCAGCCTGGATATAAATGGGTATGGATAGTGTAATGAATACAAATGGAAGTCATGGTGGATAATGCCTGTAAGCTATGCAGACTGACTGAGCTCAGTCTTTTTTTCCCTGAAAATCTGATGTAATCATAGACACAACTGGTCTGTAATAGAGAAGGGTAAGCCCTTCTGGTGGGCACACTTGGCCAGCTCAAACAACTTCCTACTGCAGCTGCTGAACTCCCATAATGTGATTTTCCTTTGGAATTCTACTACTTTTCTAAAGCAAGTGTTTTCTGTACTTTGTGTTTGGATCATTGTTACCTTCTCAAAAAATCATTTATCTGTCTGTCAGAGTATAATGCCACCTGTCTGTGGCTTTCTGAGCCCATACTACATTCACACATGCGTGCAAACCCATTCTCATTAGATTGCAGAGGACCACTGGAAACATCCTTCAATCTCAGTGCGATGGCAGTCACTCTCCAAGGTCTTCTATCTTCAGTAGGGATTCAGTGAGAAATGGAGGCTGTGGTGAGTTTATCACATGTCTCTGTTGCTCCCTCCTCTTCAGGAGAAGGACTCCTTGCCCTCTTCCTCTGCTTCCGTGTGGGCTTCTCTCTCCACATGTCCACAGGTCCTACCAGGATCCTGCCCCAGTGGGGGCTTCCCATAGGGTCACGTCCTCTTTCAGACATCCACCTGCACCAGCACTGGGTCTTCCATTGGCTGCAGGTGAATCTCTGTACCCCTGTGGACTTTCATGGGCTGCAGGGGCACAGGTGCCTCACCCTGGTCTGCACAGGAATCTCTGCTCCGGTGCCTGGAGCACTTCCTCCCCCTCCTTCACTGACCTTGGTGTCTGCAGGGCTGTTTCTCTCACATGGTCTCACTCCTTGCCTCTGACTACGATTGCTCCTGAGCAGTAACTTTTTCCCCTTAAATACGTCATCCCAGAGTCTTCCCTAAGTCTTTTTCTTCTTCCTGCATTTAAAGCAGGGAAGCTTCTTTTTGGCAGAATCAGTTTTATCATACTTATTTAATTTACTCTTTTGCATGCAGAATGTTTTTAATAGGCATTATGTTTAGATCAGGTCTGAACAAACATGAAAATCTTGCTGTCATTGAAGCCAACCACTGAAATAGAGGATGAGATAATGAGACCACCATCAGCAGAAATATTAATGTAGAGATCAGTTAATTTTTTTGTTATCTGAATGTGTGAGGTGGAATTGTTTTGAGGGGTGAGAGGGGCCTGATAGAGAACAGGACCAAGTGACTCTCCGTGCCTGTGGCACTTTTAAATTCCATGTTGACACAGTAGGAACAGGAAAGAAGTTCACTGTAATGGCTGGGCCTTCTACATATTCAGAAGGTAAAACTTTTAATAGCTGTTGTAGTTAACTTTCAGTGATTTTAATGATAGCACTGCATAAAACAGGAGCATACAAACCACTGGGTAGGTGGAAAACGTTACAAGGGCACATACCAAGCTGCTGTTTAGTTTGTGCACATTCTGAGACAATGCAACAATGCATATATTGCCATAGCTCATATGCACAAGCTCAGGTTTTAATAGACATAATCCCTTGTGAGCTCTAGGGAGACACACGAATCAAAGGGCGGAAATGGCAGGAAGTTTTTTATTTTTTTATTCCAGTCCTTGTACTGCTGTGCTACCAAAATGTGAAGGGTTGTGAAGTGATGCAAATGCTGGATTTCATGCCAGCAGCTGTTCAGAATCGCTTATCTCAGGTCTCACTGGACATCTGTCCAAGATTTGGTCATTCCATCTTGCTATATTTGACTGAATTTATTGCTAAGAACATGTCATTAAATGCATTAATAGCATTTTAGCTCTCATTTGATCTTGTGGAAGTAAGCATAGCAGAATCGAAAAATAACGTCTGCTCAGTAGGACACTAAGGCAGTGGGAGATATTTTTGCCAAACATCTCCATTACATTCTGGACTATATCTGGCAGACAAAAATGGGTGATGCTTTCACAGGAAACCAGGAGAGATACATTCTATTGAAAATTCCAGAGATGCTACATGCTTCCTAAATACAGTTCCTGCTTATATGTTGTAGGGATAACAACAGGCAGCTATGGAATATTTAAAAATATACTTGCATCTGCTGCTGGTAGGTAAATACTAGGTTTATGCTTATCAAAGAGAGCAAATTGCTTTGATTTCAACTCATATTTAATTAAAGCTGGATTTGATAAGTTGATGCATGTACAAAGTTTTCAACCTGTGTTGAAACTGGCAGCACTGGTGTTTAGCATTATCACCATTTAAGCCCCACCAGGGGAGATGTTGCAATGGTGACCAAAACAGCTCTACCTGCTCAGAGGTAATTGTTTCTCAAAAACACTGATTGCAGTGCTTTGAATGATTCAATACCTGAGTTTATTCTGTGATAATTAAGCCAGGCAGGTGATAAGATATAGGTTGCAAAGCTGAGAAAAAACATTCTCCAGAAATATTCTCACTCTTTACTGCCTCCATAAAGCAGAAACATGTGACTTGGCACCACTGGAGTACACGGCCTGTATGTGCCATTACTAAGCCTCTGCTCGTCTGTAAAAATCAGATTTCACAACTTGAAAACAAATTTGGCTTTAGAGGTACAGTCTTGGCTAAGGTTTGTGTGTTTTTTTTCTACAGCTAGTAACAGGAGAAACACAAGCAGATGTTTTCTAAGGAAGGACTATAGGAGTATTATGCTCAGCATTGGTCTATGTCCAGTAGTGACTCTCTACAACCAGTTTTTAGTTGCCAGTGAGCTTGATGAGTTTTTCTGTAAGTGTGTAGAAGACCAAAGGACTGTCATCACATGAATCTCAAATGCTTTGCAAACAGAAGGAGATGAGGCTGAATTGTTTCAACAGTGGGTTGGTACCAGTGATTTGTCATTGACTTCAGTTGATGTAGTGAGGCCTGTTATAAGATATCAAAAGCAGTCACATGTCCAGATGATTCACAAGATTTATTTTTCTATTTATACATGTCTTTTTTGACTTTGGGTTATGAATGAAATGCATAAAATATAAGACTTATGCTACCACTGTTCTGTTACTGATGAAAAAGTGCTTCCAGCCTTCGAGGCAAGACCTTGAACACCACTCAAAGGAATAGCCTGAAATCTTCAGAGGTGTCTCTTTTTTCCAAGGTCAGCTTTGCTCAGGTTCATGATATATTCACAGAAGAACAGCAAGTGGTTTCTTCTTGGCCTTTAGTGTTAAAAATGTCTCATGCACAGAGACCATGACACAGGGTAGGCATCTGAATTGCCATGTCTTGACTGACAGCTTCTAAAAGACTAATCAATATAGTCACATCTCACATGAATACTGAAATATTGGAACACATCACCACCTAAGGGTATTTGCCCAAATGTTGACCTCCATTTTGTACTTCCTGATGAGCTTTGGGATTTCACTGTAAAAGCATTCATTCCTATATAGCTTTGCATTAGACATAAAGGAATGGGAAAGGAGGTGGAACTCAACAAGCTGCCAGGAGTGAGAATACTAAAGCATTTTCATGGACTCACCTGTGATAGTAGTTTTAATTCTTCGAGTTTGTTGAGTTTGTGGATTTGGGAATTTGTAGAACAGGTTTTACTTTCATAGTTGGAGTATGACTTTATTTGGATTCTTCAAAAGTTCAGCTTAGCAGTAGTTCTAAGCCTTGCTTGGTCTTACTGCAAGAGCCCTTTATCATCCCTGTGATGGCTTGAAGGGACTTCCTGCTTATGTGAACGTGGCTTCTTGTCATTTGGCAGAACTTTGTACATGCTACAAGGGCACCTAAATATTTAC